AGCATTGAAACAGCTGATCTCTCCCTCTGTGTTCATCACCAATCACTGCTGACCACCAGTCGGTATAGCCTGTTACTTGAGCGATGTCGTGTAAGGCCCGTTCGACCATGACATGCCCCGTCCACGTCTCTTAAATTGACCCCATATTTCCAGTGATCCCCATGTAATATGTAGTGGCCTGAGATGATCAACACTTGCCTCGGGTGTGCAGTGGTATAGTCTGATTAGGATTTTGTTATATTCTAACTTATTGAAGGTAATAACACCCCCCACTCAGCCTTCGTCCTCAGCCTGCAGTGAGCAGCATTCACCCCCCGAATAATGTGGTGCGGATCAGCCGCATGCATGGTGACCACTACAGAGCATACGTGGCACGTTCCACCAGTATGTACCGTTCAAGTCAGTGGGCTGAGCCTGAATCCTGCAGCAACGCGCACTCAGCGATCTCCAATGACCAGAGGCTGGAAGTGATCTTTCTGGGGCCTACCTTGACCTGTGCCGGTGACGGCGCTGTGGCCTGGTGCCGGCAGCAATCGTGCTGGGCCTGCCATGACCTGCGTTGGTGACGCCGCTCTGGCCTGGTGCCGGCAGTGATCGCTCTGGGGCCTGCCATGACCTGTGCCGGTGACGCCGCTGTGACCCGGTGCCGGCAGTGATCGCTCTGGGACCTGCCTTGACCTGTGCCGGTGACGCCGCTGTGGCCTGGTGCCGGCAGCAATCGTGCTGGGCCTGCCATGACCTGCGTTGGTGACGCCGCTGTGGCCTGGTGCCGGCAGTGATCGCTCTGGGGCCTGCCATGACCTGTGCCGGTGACGCCGCTGTGACCCGGTGCCGGCAGTGATCGCTCTGGGGCCTGCCATGACCTGCGCTGGTGACGCCGCTGTGTACCTGTGCCGGCAGTGATCGCCGTGGAGCCGGACGGCAAGCACCTGGGCCGAGCCTGCGCGCCGGCCGCCGGCTCTGGCTGGACCCGCCGCGCTTCATCAGCACGCTGGCCGACGGCTGCACGACGCAGCAGTGCGGCCGGCTGACGTTCCCGATCCTTTGCCGCCTGGTGGAGCCGACCGTGCTCACCGTCACCGACGACCAGATGGCGGCGGCCACGCGCCGCTTCTGGCAGCGCGCCAAGGTGGGCCGATGGCGGGAGAGTGCTCCGCCGCAGGGTGCGACTGGGCGGGGGTGTCGATCAGGCCCGGGAGCGGCGTGGGCGGTGTGTGACTCGCCGGGGAGCGTGTGCGGTGGGTGTGCGGAAGCCCTGTGTGAACAGCTGGAGCTGACGTCGACGGTGATGCGTGGTGTATGGATATGTGCTCACGCCTGCACCTGGCTGGGCCATGGGCGGTGCGGCCGCTCACGCGGGGCTTTATGCTGAGTAAGCGTGCAGCGTGCGGAGATCGAGCCTGGAGCAGGGACAACGGCCAGCCGCCCTCGCTCCTGGTTGGTGGACACGTAGTCTTTCTAAGCTAGCATTTTTATAGCTGTGAGGTAGCCACGCGGTCTGGATGATGGACCGATCCAAAGTATTCATGTTTGTGACCAATGCCACACGTCTGGTTGTTCTGAGGTTTCTGAACGCGTTGTGAATTCGATCCATTCTCCAGGCAAGCTCAATGAAGCACGCTTCTCCGGAAGCCCCGTGCACTAGCCAGAGCATCTGTGCCTGGGTCGAGGGGTCTGGTGTCCATAATCCTCGCGGGCTTCTTCCACGGTCTCTCAGCATTCAAAGCGTGTCAACCCTCACCGTACGTACGCCGCCAACTGACCTATCGGCGGCCACCCTCCGGCGCAGCACGTGATCGAGCCGTCGGCGGGCATGGTGGTGGCGGCGGCGCTGTCGGACCAGCTGCCGGCCGAGCTGCGGCGCGTGGGGGTCGTCCTCTGCGGCGGCAACCTCGACCTGGACCGGCTGCCCTGGCTGTCGGCCGGCGGCGCGGCGCCCCACGCGCTGGGCTAGCTGCTGCCGATGGTGGGCCGGGCTCGGACGCAGCTGTGGGAGAAGCTGCCGCCGTCGGAGAATGGTGGTGTGGCCTCAGCTGTGGAAGAGACTGCCGCCGTCGGGGGATTGCAGTTGTGGCCTCAGCTGTGGGAGAAGCTGCCGCTGTCGGGGACTGGTGCTGTGGCGTCACTTGTGGGAGAAGCTGCTGTCGTTAGGGAATAGTATTTTTACCTCAGCTGTAGGAAAGGCTACCGCCGCCGGGGAATGGTGCTGTGGCCTCAGCTGTGGGAGAAGCTGCCGCCGTTACGGAATGGTATTTTTACCTCAGCTGTGGGTGACGCAGCTGCCGCCGGGGAAGAGCTGTGTGGGAACCTGGGCCGTATCACGGCGTAATTCCAGCCTGGTTTACTTTGTAAATGAGTGGCGCATGTAGCCTAAAGGGCTTGATAGGGGAGAGGGGAACTGAGCTGATTTAGCACTGAGCCTAGGTTGGTTGTTAGAAGCTGTCTCAACGAATCACTGTTATGCTCATATTGCCATCAATTGGACGGTGTTTATATGGTTTACTCGGGTTGATGCAATTGGTCCTGTCAGAGGCTTTTGCCATTTTGCAATACTCATTTTTGCAATCAATATTTTCACCCAGTTGGCATGTTCCTTGATACCGTTTTAAGCATCGTGTGCGTGTGAGCAGTCGTCAGCACAGCGATACACTGCACGCGGAATACACTGACTCAGGGCTGCTTGGCTGGTATGTACCGCCCCACCAGTGGTCTTCCGTCGTGATGCAGCGAACTTATCCCAGGCAGAGAGGCGATCGCGCCCGACCCATCAGACCGGATTCAGGCGGTTCAGGTCGGCTGCCGCACAAGCGACGAGCAAGCTTTTTTCGACAAAGTCTCTCACAACTGGTGCAAATATACAATGAGTGATAATCCACGCCATTTATTACAAAAATAGACACCGATCCACGGTTCACTTCTAACTATATGTGCACGTGAGTATGCGTCAAATGTGGAATCACCAAATTTATCTACCTGGAATGAAACCCATGGCGGTCGTTTCCCCCGGCCGCGGATGTATTCGGAGCCAACGTGCTTCGCAAGATTCAGTCCTCCGTCAAAAGTTCTCAAAACGCGGACATCCAGCACAACTGGCTCTGACAAGTCTTCATCAAACCGCGACAGGATCTAAATACAAAACCTATGCGTCTGTTAGTCTGGAAGTGATGACACATAACAACACACTAAACAGGCAGCTCCGAAAAACCACTCTCGCCCGCCCGCGGGCTGCACCACCGCGACCTATCGCTAGATCAACACATCGGTAAAGCTGGATGCTGAGACACCGGCTCAACACTGCACAAGCAAACACAGACACGGCGGCGGGACACGCCGACATAACACAGGCGCGTCTCACCGGGCACGCCCAGCGAGAGGTGCGCCGCACTGCCGCCTCTGACTGCGCCGCGCGGGGCGCCGTCTGGCTGCCTTGTGCGAGGTGAGAGTGCGAGACGCATGGCGCACGAGCATTACAGCGAAGTACAAATACGGGCACCCGCCACCGCACGCGGCGGGGCCTTACGCACCACCCACCGCCTGGTCGCGAACGGCAGCTCGTAAAACGAAGCCCACTCCTCTGCTGGCAATGGTCAGATCTAGAAGTGCCCTCCGCCACCCACTGAAGCGCTCTGGTGCTTCTCGAATGGCAGACACCACAGGAGCGCGGCGAGGCACCGTACCGGCCCGGGTCGCCGAGCGGCGACGGCGCGACAGCAGTGTCATCGCGCACGCGACCGCGCGCCGGCCGGGCTCGGGGCAGCGCTGGCCCGGCAGCCTGGTGGGCGCGCACAGACGCCGGCGGCGGCACGGTCAGCGCCACGGTCTGAGGTGCAGGGCCCCCCCCCCCCCCCCCCGTCAGGAGCCGTGGTGGGAGCCGTAGGAGAAACGTTCAGCTGATATGCATGCGAGAAAGGGGGGGGGGGGAGGTCGGGGGAAGGAAAGACGAGACGGAAGTGCGAGGTATGGCATCGCGAGGGAGACCAGTTTAGAGACATGTCATCGCGAGAGAGACCGGCCTGGTGATACTGACAACCGCGAGGGAGACCGGCCTGGTGATATGACACCGCGAGGGAGACCGGCCTGGTGATATGACACCGCGAGGGAGACCGGCCTGGTGATATGACACCGCGAGGAAGACCGGCCTGGTGATACTGACACCGCGAGAGAGACCGGCCTGGTGATATGACACCGCGAGGAAGACCGGCCTGGTGATACTGACACCGCGAGGGAGACCGGCCTGGTGATATGACACCGCGAGGGAGACCGGCCTGGTGATATGACACCGCAAAGGAGACCGGCCTGGTGATATGACACCGCGAAGGGGACCGGCCTGGGGATAAGACACACCGCGACGGGGACCGGCCTGGGGATATGGCAAATGTGCGTTGCGAGCAATGATAGGAGAGAACTCGAGGGTGTGCACCGTCGAAGGAGGCTCAACAGCTTCGTGGTTGGTCAGACTCGGGGCAGAGGGTACTGCCGAACACCATAATCAGCCGATGAGCACACGGCGACAATAAGACAGCGCAGTCATGTTCACAGGCACCAGTCAGCGTTAGTGATGGTACTAGCTGTGATCCAGCAGACGCCGACCAACGCCGGGAGAGTAGCAACTGGTTCCGACCCGACATAGTGGAAAAGGCGTGTGCTAGACATCGACGCGGAGTTGGCGACTCCTCTAGACGTGCCACACCGACAACATCTGACACAGTGCCCACTGGACACTAGACAGCTAGTGACCACGCTTCGGACGTCCAAAACATCAACCGGAGAGGATGAACGGACCGCTCCGCGCTCGTAACGCGCGGCCCGGGCCACACTAATGCACTGTGCCCACGGAAAAACGCCTCCAAACGCTTCCACTACACCTGCTCTATCGACTCGCTATTGCAAAAAGCAGGCGCGCGCGGCGGTGCCCGCCCTCGCCTGTGCGTCTCACAGGTACTTCTGTGCCGTCCGCCCGCGGCCCGGCTCGCGCGCCGGAGCCGGCGGCCCGGTCTGCCTCAGGATGCCACTGCCGCCGCAGCCGCCGCTGGCGGCGGAGGCGGCGGAGGACCCCGCCGCTCCTCCTGCATCAGCTTCATCACCTCCTCGTAGGAGGGCGGCAGGTCATGGCCGCGCGGCGGCAGCGCCACCTCCAGGCCAGAGTCGACCTCTTCGAGCGCCAGCGAGCCGCGCGGTCGACGCCGCCGCCTGCGCCGGCCCAGGGCGCTCAGCCGCTGCTTGCGCACGTGCATCATGGTCTTGACGGCGACGAGCAGGCCCAGCAGGATGAGCACGGGTCCCAGCAGCCAGGTCTGGCGCGCCGTCATCATGTCCAGCGACATCGGCCCCGGCCACGACGAGCTGTCGGCCGAGGCGGGGTCATTGTGACGCAAAGGCCGGTACACGCCCCAGCTAGGCCCGCGGCGCAGCGGTGGCTCAAGGTCAGCTGGTGAGATACGAGGTCTTGGCACACAATACAACCAACTTCTAGTGTAGAGTTGTCACGCCAGAGTGGGGTTATTTGTTTGGACATCTTATGCCCTGTCCATACATGATGAACTGTGATCATGCACAAAACATAACCTAATCATGGAAGACCAAATTTCGGGTCAAACAAACAACAACCAACAGCCTGGCAGTTGGCAAACCAGAAATAAATACGTGACAGTGCGGACGTCCCAACCTGTCCCCTGGTCCTGTCATCCTGCCCACCTGAAGATGAAGGTGATGGCGATGCCAGAGAAACAGAGCACAGCACAAAGCCCTGAGTAGCAGCAGGTGGTGAAGTCGCAGCAGACAGGAATGTCCTCCACTGTTGGTGACTCAGTGTATGGAGGAGACGGCTCCATGGCAGCTGGTGGCTGGCCGGGACGGCCCCACCACCTGGTGCACAGCTTCACCACCTGCCGGCTGGCTACTGGTCCGCTGAAATGCACCAACCAGTTTGCTTGACCACAGCCACAAGAAGAATGACTGCAGGAGCATCAGGGTGGGGTGGTAGGCTTGCACTTTGGAGATGGGATTGCAGGAGTTCCCAGTGAGGTGGTGGGTTTGTTCTCCGGAAATAGGACTGCACAAGCAATGGGGTGAGGAAGTGATTTTGGGTTTGGAAGACAAGGAGGGCTTGCCATCTGCAAGTGGGACTGCGGGAGTGTCAGGGTGAGGAGGTGGGTTTCTCCTCTAGAACTGAAGAATGTCAGTGCAGGATAATGTTCAAACCAGTATAAATAAGATCCTATGGCACTGAGAGCACCTAAGTGATGCAGCTTCTGAAGTATGACTGCTTCTCAGCTTTAATCCTGGTATGTGTGGTACATGGTCTTGCAATTGGCATATTAAGTGGTTCATGATGCATTATTGGCATGATACTTACTCCAGGCAAATCAAGTGTTATATTGGAATCAAAACTATGCTGGGGTACCTTGCATTGGTTTTATCACAATGCTATCAACTGTATCCAGATGTTCACTCTAGTGCATGCTTTTCATTACTTATCTTTTAAAAGATTTAGTCCAAATCCTTTGAATGGTTGGATTTTTGGTGTCATAGTCCATATAGTTAAAGTTATAGCTATGTAGTCATAGTTGAGAAGTTATAGTTGAGTTTCTATGGTTAGTCCTAATTATGCAGTGTTTGTTCAGTAAGATCTGACACAACCACCAAATCATGAAATCCCCAGCAAAGGGGAAATTTGATGGTGAAAGTTAAACATGATGTTGAATATTGTCGCCATCCATCCTGCCCTCTCCTGTCATCTGACCTTAAGTTTGCTAATACCACCAGCCATCCCAGTCACCAGCAAACAGTAAGCACCTAAAATGGCTTCAACATGAGCAGTTGTAAATATCTGAGCTATCAAGACAATGGTAATCAAAATCAAATGAAATCACACCACTAAACTGTGAAGACAAGTTCAGGGAGCATACCAAAGGCTCTGTGAGGTAAGCATGTGATCTGACAGTAGAAGTGCAATCATCAGCAATTTAAAACAGTGATAACAAAAGCTAACAATTCTGTAATACTGTCTTAATTTTATAGCACCAGTAAGCACCAAGTCCAAACATGCATATTAAGTTTGCATCTCCTATAAACTGGACTTAACTTCTCCAACCTCTGCTTGCTAGTTCATACAGAATAAGCAATGGAAGTGGTTAGCATTGATCAGTCCTGGTTGCTCAATGTATACATTGTTATAGTGGATGTAGTGCATGTTCATACCTTGACACAAACTTGATAGGGGCAGATATTCTTTCAGACCTTAAGGCATTAATGCGTGAGAATACACATGTTATTCAGCCTGCGAGGCCAAAGCTGTGAGGGGAAGAGACCACTGGACCATACCAGAAGACCAGAAGAGAAGAGACCAGGGGAAGGTGAGGCCATTTACCATATAATCTTGACAAGTGAAAATCAGGGATGGAACTTTATAAAAATATTGGTGGACTGCAATCAAGATTTGGAAACAAGAGGCCCCAGGATTATATGCCACCTATCTAATCATTTTAGCTTTGGGTTGAAATGTTACTGAGTATGGACACAGCTCAACATTCTGGACAACTCTCATATGACCGGACAACACACATATACAGCCCTAGATAATGTAAGCAGCTTTCACCATAACACCCTACTTGCTACAAACATTCCTGGCTCTGAGGACACTTCAAAGTGCTTTGCCATAATCTAACTAATATTGTTACATCCTGTAAGCGCTTTCCTGACAGGGTTTATTTACGCTTGGCACGGCTGAGCCCCTTGCTAGAGCTGTCCTGCCGCGTTAGATCTCCCGCATTCAAGGCACACACCATCCCCGCACCATTTTTGAGTACACGACCGTGACGGACAAATCCGCATGCACGCACCCCTGGACTGTCTTACACGGACTCTCAAAGCCCAATAACCTGGGCCCCTCCCATCCGAGTTCTTACCCGGGCGTATGCCGAGGTGGTTTGTTTTCGTGGCCGATGAATTCGCCCGAGGGCGGCATCCAAGGTCGTAGCCCAAAACCAAGCTAAAGCGGCGCACGACGCAAGTCGCTGCTACCAAATCGCACTGGGCTCGAGTTTATGGAGTGATTCTGTCCCTGATTCGACTCAGGTGCAAAGTTTGATTTCCTGTGCCGACCAGTCTCTGCTGGTGGACCGGATGTCTTTTCGCCGGGCGAATTTTCGCGAAGAGAAATGTTTTTGCGCGAGAGGTGGGTCTGGGTAGCCACCGCCGAAATGGCAGCCCTAAATCTCTACGCACCACACGTAGCCAAATCACGGGGCGGGGAAAACACGGGCACACATACGGAAACGTTGAACGGAACATCGAGAATAACAATGGCTCACCGCGACGCAGCAACGGAAGGTGCCACCGGGCATCAAAGCCGACGTAGCAAGAGAATGTATTGGTGCCAAATCCAGCTCCATCACGACAGTACAAAACGTGTCGGCGCGGCCGTTCGCGCCGTCACGCCCGCCACGGTTCGGCCCAGACTCTCCGCGCCGGCGGCCGGCGCCCGGCGGAGGTGGCGCCTGCTTTGAGCACGGCCTCCGACGCCGACGGCACCCACGCCCAGGACGGGTTTCCCCGACGGCTGCACTAGCTACACCTCATGGAGTTTTAGATCCCCATGCCGATCGGGCGTCCCGGGCCGCCGGCGGCGCGCGGCGCCTCGCTTATCGCTACACTGGCGGCGCGGACCGCGGCGCAGCGCGCGCTCCCTTTAAACACGTACGCACGGAGAGACGGCCCGCACCGCCGCTCAGTCACCCGCCTGCCCTCTCACCAACAGCGAAAGCGTAACACAGACGTATAACGGCTAACAGAGAGATACTGCATCGGGCAGCAACAGAGAAAGTGCAGCGCGACGGCCGGGCGCAGCGCACCGGCGCCGCCCTGTCCACCGCGCATGCCGTGGAATATGCGATTGTTAGTAGGAAAAGCGCATGGTTTGGCGAAGTCACAATGCTTCCACTCGGTCGCGGCACCGCCCGACCGCCCCGCGCACCACCACGCCAGGGCGGACAGGTGTGCGGACGCTGCTCTCTCGCGACGCAGCGGCACCCACGCAGCCACACCCGTCACGAAGTAAGCTCAGTTAAACAGCCGGGAGCCAAACGCCCGCGCAAATCAACACGTTCCCTCGTAAAAGCGGCAGTCCTGGCCTCAAAAAGCAGACTATCCTACCGGCGCAACACAGTCGGCGCGAAGCAACAGAAACGACTCGCGGCGGGGTCGCGCCCGACCCGGCCGCCTCGCGGCGTCCTCAGGTACGTCTCAGAGCGCGGTCCGGGCCGCCTTTCCAACGGTCCGTGGCCCGCAGCCGCTGGGCACTCCGCCGCGAGCGGGCGCGCTTCCAGCGCGGCTGCACGTGGCGTCGGCGGGCGTCGCTACCGGACACGCTATCACAGGTTCCGGTTCAGGCCGGCGCGACCGGCCGCCAGGTCACCACCAGGTCCCCGCACGCTCCGAGATCGCGGCGCGCCCAGGCCAGAGCCGGCCGGACGCCGGCGTCGGCGTCGGCGTCGGCACCCGGCCGGCCCTATTTGAGCGCCGTTTCGCACACGCTCCGGCAGATGCTCTCCAGCGAGTCCAGCCGGCCGGCCGGGTCGACGGCCGGCGGCGGTGGTGGGGGCGGCGGCGGCGGCGGCGGCGCGGCCGCCGGGATCGACTGCAGCGGGGGAGCGGCCAGGCCGTGGCGCACGGCGCCGTAGCTGGGCGGCGGCGGCGCCGAGAACAGGCTGCCCGCCGTCGGCCGGTAGATGTCGCCCGAGTTGGTGCGGTACAGGCCGCCGGATAGGTGCGGCACCTGCCGGGAGACGGGCCGTCACAAACCGAGCGAGGACCGGGACGCGTGTGGAGGAGGCGGTTGCGATATCGCGACAACAGACGGACGCGGCAGGTGTGTCACAGTGGGCACGGAAACGCAATAGTGGCAGCGAATGTTTGAGATTGCAAGCCACGAACCAATCCTAGCTCAAGGGGTAGCTTGCATACAAGATCAGTTGCACGTATGGCCTTAACCAGCCTACGTGTATGGCACGCACAGTCACGACACCAACACCGCAGGCCGATGTTACCGGCTGCAATAAACTACCCTGTGCGCAAGGCTAGTCACTGAGCCAAAGACACAAACCGGCTCACCGGCCACGCCAAGTCTACATAGAGTACCGCCCCGCAATAGCCATACAGAGCATCTAGCAAAACGGTTGTCGCTCTCTTCCACCCTGACCAGCCATACTCCCTCCACTTATCACTACCACCGCACCTTAACCAGGCAGCCCCGCTCACCGCCTGTCCCCCGCCCCGCCCACGGCCGTCACCTCACCTCCAGCATGCTCTCCTGCAGGCTGGTGCGCCGCGGGAAGCTGAGCCCGAGCGAGGCGGGCCCCGAGCGAGGCGCCGGCGCCGGCGCGCGCCCGAGTCGCCCCGCCGGCGCCTGCTGCGTGGCCGTCGGCGCGCCGCCCCAGTAGCCGATGCTGGGCGCCGGGTAGCCGCCGCCGAAGGGGGCGGCGGGCGGCGCGGGCGCGGCGCGGCCCGAGCCGGCCGCCGGCGCCGGGAAGCGCCGGTAGCCGCGGGCGTCGCTGTGCCGCCGCTGCGAGTGGTACTGGCGCGCGTCCGAGTGGCGCCGGAACGGCGGCGGGAACACCTGGTGGGAACGGGCAGTGGAGGTGAGGTGGCCACTCGGCGGCGTCAGACGGGGAAGACCGGGACCACAGCAATGGCAGCCGCCAGTCCAGGCCGTGGCGGTAGAGCAGTCCTCGACAGCCATCACCGAAAAAAAATACATCGCGTTCAATTCGTCACAAAGGTTCACACCCAGCGTTGATACCACACCAAACACACAGCGCGTTATTACCCACGTTCTAAACGAAACGGCACCCGGCGTCAGCGATGCGCGATCACATGCACCGTGGCACCCGGCCCTCGCTCTCGTCCGCCTCCCGCTCCCCCGCCTCCCGGCGCCCCGCCCCACTCACCTGTCT